GCCAATGCTGGCATTTCTTCATCGCTGGCAAAACGGAGCGCGATAATCTGGCCGAGTCGCAATTGTTTGTCAAGCGGTTTTCCCGTCAACACAAAATGCCGGAAATTTTCTTCTGCACGAATGGCGCGATCCTGCGCACGCAATGCAAAACTGCGGGCGAAAATGAATACACTTACAAAGATGAACGACATCGCAACTAATAAGGAAGCTGAATAGAGGTTGTCGCCTGATGAATGTACTAAATTAATGATACTTCCGATAAGTACAGCAAGAATAAGTGCGCTGGTAATAAAATGCCAGGCAACATTATAACGCGCGTGGTTCTTAAAGTTCTGTTGTTTCATAACAATCGTTTTGGTTGCAGTAATGGGATGACCGAATATAAACAAATATCAGCACTACCCTGTTCTATTTCAGCACATCCAGCACCTGGTACATTTTATTGACTAATGTGGACGATTTACCATTGTAATTGTTCACCAGGAAAGCAACAATATACTCAGTGCCGTTTTTTGCTGTATGATAACCGCAGAATCCCTTTACGTCGCTGATCGTACCGCTTTTCAGTTTCATCCCATTGTACTCGGGCAAGGCATTGTAAAAGGACGAAAACCAGGGCCTCGTTTTCGCATATTTTAATACGGTCACCTGCGCATGCGTGGTGATGCGGTTAAGTGGTGATAAACCGGAACCATCACTCATGTTTAGTTCATTCTGTTCGATACCAATAGCCTTCCACCAATCCTGGATGATCTTAACGCCATTGGATGTACTACCAAATCCATTCTTTTCAAAAGCGATGGTTTTGGCCAATGCTTCGCCATAGAGGTTTATGCTTTTCCTGAGAAACCAATAGATGATAGTATCGAGTGATGGAGAGTAGTGCGTAAATAAAACAGGTCCGTAGATCGGTGGTCGCGCGTGTTCAGGATCACTGATGTGAATGGTTTGTGGTTTTCCCATCACCGTGATTCCATTTTTGGTTAAATAATTCTTCAGCGTATCTGCCAGTACAAATGCGGGGTCAGGGATAGCTCCCGAAATTTTAAACGCCTTTTCTCCCATGGGTATGGTACCGGTGATCCGCCAGGGTTCATCCATTAATGGTAAATAGATATAGGCATTATCTCCAGTACCTTTTTCAGCAGCCATCACCTCACTGCTTAAAAAATGAGCCGGGAGACGGGGTTGATACCCGGTGATCTCAACTCGCTCACCTAAGCCAGCCGGCGATTTTAATATTACATCAAACTGGTTTTCGTTCCAGTTCACC